CCCCCCCCAACTCCGGTCAAAAATCCCCCCCCCCCCCCCCCCCCCCCCACCTCCTCCACTATGCGAGGAGAAGCAAACCCTTCCATCAGCAAAATTCTGGCTACGCCACTGCTCCGGAGACATCTATATTCACTCTCTGGGGTGTCCGTCTTCCACTAAAGCATCCACTTCCATTCCAACCCTCGCGGTTGACGGATACGCAGCAGACAATGGGGGAAAGCGGCTGCTCGCGGCCGTGTATACAGGATTGCTACGCGCACGCCTGAAGTGTAGCATCTGACATCCTACGCTTGATGCTCTCCTTCCCACGCTGACGCTGACGCGCGCACAATCGAAAGCACGTCTACCGGGTCAGCCCAAAGTTCTGGAACATGATAAATTTGGATTTATCATGTATTTGAGAAATCAAATTCAAATTTTCAATAGATTTTTATTACATATCAGAGTACATGTGGACAAAAAATTATTCAAAATGGCCACGGGCTTGATGACACGCTGAAGACGTCCCTTGAAGGCGTTGGCCGAGGTGAACACATAATCCATAGGCATATTGGCCCACTCCTTGGTCAGGGTCGACTTGATAAGAGTCCAGATTCAGGTGGTTGATGCTACTGGCCTTGGTCTCTAAGTAGATCTACACAGGATAGTCCATTGGGTTCGTACCGGAGAAGAGGGGGGGCCACTCCTCCTTGCTCAGAGATCATAAATCTTGGTTTTTTTTCAGCCAAACCTGAGTGACCTTTACAGTGTGTGCTGGGGCATCGTCTTCCATGAAGGTCCAGGGCTTCTTGCCAAACTTCTTCTTGGCCCAAGGGGTGAACCACATCCTTCAGGATGTGTTTGATGTAGAAATCCTTATTGACCTCGACTCCAGGGGGGACGAACACGAAGGGGGTCAGAGGTCAGAGGGTGCCAGAGGCAGTGATGCCAGTCCAGACCATGACAGACGCCGGATGTTGCCTCTGGAAAGCTGTTTTCAGTTCTACGGGGACATGTTCGACGCCCTTGGTCAGAACCCTGTCATTGTGGCGGTTGTGGATGCGCTAGACGGTGAACATCTTCCCATCCGCGAAGAGGATGCTCTTCATTTCACCTTTTTTTTTCTAAAGCTTTTTTAACATTTCCTTGGAAATGTTAAAAGCAAGCCTCTTGGCCTTGGTGTTCTCAGACAAGACCTGTCGTTTTTGGAGGGCGAAGGGCCGCACGTCGTATTGGACCAATTTTCCCTTTGTCGTAGCGCCCATGCCGGACTCCTTGGTCATCCATGGCCATGCTCCTCTGTGGATTCCAACGAATCTTGTTTCTGGTGGACGTGATGGCCTCAGAGGTACGTTTGGACCTCGGACGACCACTCCTCGGACGGCCAGCAGTTGAGCCTGTCTCCCTGAATGGTTTCAGGGTCCTCCAGACAAATTTCTCGTCGATGGCGATGCCCCTAGGTTCCTTCACAATCTTGGAGGGACACTTTCCAGCTCTGGGCAGCTGCAGAACTGCTTCTCTATTGGCCTCCATTTCCAGATGAAGAAATCCAAATTTGGTTTTTTGCTGAGCCAATAGAGTAAACCAACTAAAAAAGAATTGGAACATTTTTCCTTCACCCACGCAACCGCGCAAAGTAAAAAGAAATATCGATGTTCAAGGACTTTGAGCAGGCTCGGTAACTGTCTGAGACTTTTAAAGGAGGTCTCGTCGTACCAATGACTTCTTTCGAAATTTGATGGCTAGAGTCGAAAAAATGGAAATTTTCTGACTCTGACACTACTCATCACCATGTGGAAATAACATCTCCGGACGTCAGAGAATCTTTATAGAGACAAAGGTCTTGGAAGACCCAAGAATCCAAATCCTGCCGACGTGTTCCATCTTTGCACTGCCCGATCAGCTCCCCGCTGAATCCAGGATTCGTCACCGGCCGGGCCAGATTCCACGAAAAACTCGAGGGATTTGCTGCCGAGGTATCGAATACTTCGCTCAAAGTAATTGACCGATCGGGATCTTTGGTTCTGGGTTCGACACATGAAAGTCGACCACCGTTCAGATGCAACCATTTGGTTGTAGGGTTATAGAATTTCAAAAGCTTCGGTACCGGTTCCAATGCATTAACGAAGACTGCGAATATAGACGATCGCCACCTGATTACCAGGAGCTATTGTGGTAACTGCTGAATGAAGGGGTTTTTCCCTAGACCAAAAGCAAAAGAATAGGTCTCTAATTTCCTTCGGTACAAAACAGAGGGAAACCGTATGCCAACACCCGTAATAAATGGCTCCTCGTGACGTAAGAAATGCTGCCTAGACAAAAAGAATCAAAACATACTGAACCATAGACACGATTCCAACTTTTACCTCGCTTTTGTCAAATTATGGCGCGAAGCGAGTTTTCACTTTTAGTAGTCATGAATAAAGTGAGATAGTCTTCTTCGGTAACACTGCTTAGAATTCAATCTTTTTCTCTACTACCAGGAACTTAGGAAAAAGAACATCTGTCACCGATTCGATGCGACATTTCTTGGGAGATTGTAAACTTTCCATTACATGCACGTTCTTTCTAAATCCGGATCGTGTAAATTCATCCAGATCTCATCTCCAGAGATGATACTTCTCTGGAAGAAGCCACTTTGGAATACACCTGACAGGTACTTTAATCGTGTGCAGATGCGCCTGAATCATGGAATCCAATGAATGTTGTTCACCGTCCCTGTGCTTGCGCATGTTCAAAGTCAGAGGGTGTTATAATTTCATGAACTTCCTGATTTTTTTTCTCTGCAGAAAAACCCATTGGTGAGCTAGGTACGAGAATAAGGAAGAAAACAATTATTTCTTGGAAATTTATTGGCAGCCGGGATATACAAGGAGAAAAAAAATTCCATGTGGGGGAACGGATCAATGATACAAAATTGAAAAAAAAATTCACACAGGGGGGAGGTGGATGAATCACACAATATTGCAAACAATTTGCACACAGGGGAGGATCGAGGCGGACGAATGATACAAAATTATGAATAATTTCTCCAAGGTGATGGGGTGGATCAATCATAAAAAATGCTTTAAAGACTCTCACAGGTGAGGAGGCATATAAATTATACAAAATTATGAAATAATTTCTCATTGATAAGGGCGCAGATCAATGGTACAAAATTAAAACAAAATTTCGGGCAGGTGAGGGAGTTGGCTGGATAAACGGTTTAGTTGTGGAGATCCTCGCTCACTTGATGAATTTTTCGTGACATGGCCAAACCGAATGGACCCTTCTCACCTGGTACTTGGAGTAAAGGCAGGAGATAGGAGTTTCGGAAGTGGTTTGTTATACGGAAAATGAGGCTACTAGCCTTGATCGAAATGGAAACAAGAGAGCGGCCACGTCAAGCAACACTGACAGTCGTAAAACACCTCTAGGAATCTCAGACCTAAAGAAGCGGATGACAGGATAGAAAGGCCATGCCTTGCAGGATTTTTGCTAGCCGCCATGTCCTTCTCGGAGGGAGGATTGGCAACGGGACGGTCGGGAGTTGAGCTGATCTAATCTTTGTTGAGACGATTGTGAACTTCCTTGGAGTTCTGACAACCACCATCCTCTGAACTGGCAAGGTCCCACTCGTTGCCTATGGAACTCGTGAATTCACTCGGAATGGGTAGGTTTATGATGGATTGACGAATGGAATGTGATATGCTGGGAAAGAGACATATCGTAGTGATGGATCCATCCAGACCAGTGAAATCTGTGAATAGTCCGCAAAATGGGTCCGATTGCAAAGTCCAGTTTCACCGACGCGGATGGAATCCAGTACTACGATGTGTCGTTTTCCCATTCGTTTCTTGAACCTATTCATTCACCCAATCCCAGTGAACTCCTAGTTCCAGAGCCATCAGAGCGACCTGGCCTCTTCTGACGATGGTGGTTGTCACAACTCTAAGGTAGTAGTGCAGATCTTGTCTTTGCTGAGACGCCATGTCTCAGCAAAGACAAGATCTGCACTTCTCTCTACAATTCCACCCTCCGGTCATTTGAGAGCCAACATGGCTTACAATGCTCACGGCATCAACGCATTCACTCCAACATACAGAATGGTCATTATAACTTTATCAATTTGTTGATTACTGTTGGCTCCTAGAAGCGCTTTAGTTCTGTCAGCATCACTTGACGTGCCTTATTTTAAAATATTTTTTATGTTTTTTTTTTAGTTAAACCACGTCCGAACCTTCCAGGCTCCTGTATGGAGATGAAATGAATAATTTCGTTCATTAAGAGTATAAAGCCAGGTGAGAAGGGTCATATTTCACTTGGAATTCCCCCCCCTGTGTGAATTTTTTTTTCAATTTTGTATCATTGATCCGTTCCCCCACATGGAATTTTTTTTNTGAGAAGGGTCATATTTCTCTCGAAATTCCCTTTCCCCCCTCCCAATTTCATATGGTGTGTCTGTCTTGAAATTTTTTCATTTTACGAATGTTAATTTATTAATTTCCATTTTTCCAACCAACTCACCTCACCGAATTATAAATTGCCGATGCTAGAGACCTCCACCTCCAGAAAATGGGATGCTGATGGATGAAACGGGAATTCAGAGGTTCGCCTCCTGCAAGAGATAGATCCATCCATTTATCCAATGGCTCCTTTCCAGCTTTTACGAGTTCTATCTATGACAGAGGGCAGCCAAATTATACAGGATCGCATCAACAAATTTCTTCCCAAAGTGGTGTAGAGCGTTAGTTGATTTAAATTCTTTTTCCCAAAAGAGGGATTTAGGACATTGAGAATCGAAACGAAATGCGAAAAATATGGAGGCTCCAGACCGTCCGAGACAACGGAGGCGGTGCAGACCGAGGCGATGACGATTCACACGCCGTCGGACTCGGCAGTGGGACCATAGATTTGGGAGAACTTCCCCCGCCTCGGGGGGAACGAGCCGCCGATGGACGCAGCCTCGTATTCGACTCGGAAGCCGATCCGGGATCCGGCGAGCGTGTCGATGGACATTGAGCACGTGAGCTTGGCCCCGCATTCGAGGAAGTCCAAACGGAAGGTGATCTTCTCTTTCTCTCCGGGTTCGAACTCCCACTTGTAGAAGTATTCCACGTTGTGAAGGACTATCGGAAGAGAAGAATTCACTCGTTACACTTGGAGTGGATGTGGGAGTATTTCCACGGGGAATAAAAAACNGTTCTTTCGTCCCCAAGGTGGTGTCGCCTTTCCTCTCTCCCCCGTCGGGGGAAGCAAGATCGTAGAAGGAAGGCGGCCTTACGGCCCACCCACCTTTTCATGCGGCTCACCCGATCCATATATTCCAAATGAATGAAACGCTGGAAATCTGATCGGTTCTGGGCAGAACTTTTCTCTTTCTCGTTCGGGGGTAGGTCTCCAGGCAACGAATCCACGATTCGTGACACTCACCTGGAACTTCATTCATTGTTCCATTTTTCCACTCTGAGGTGAGAAAATATAGAAGACCAAAACATATCGGGAGTCGAAATATGAAATTAGGCAGTGAGGTACATGTTTGATGCTAAAACCAGGAAGAGATTTTTCTGCACTGTTAATTGTCGGAATCATTTCTTTCAACTGTACGAGGGGAGTTCAATGAATTTCAAGATTAGCCCAACACACATACTGTATCTTGGACTGATCTCACGATTCCCCTTTTTCTTTAACAGCGATTCAGGGATTAGTACGAATTTTTATCAATAATTTTTGCCCGTTATGGAGACTTGCGCTAAAAAACAGCGAAGTACACACCGTCGCAGATAGATCGTTTCTCGATAGAAGCAAAGGCAAATGCTGGTATTAATGGCAGCACTTCTGGTGTTGTCACTGGGACAGATGTCGACTATTCTCCAACAGTTCAAAACTAGAACCATGCCAGAAGGATGAATCATGCGAATATTCCACTGTCTCAGAAAATGTGAACTCAGAATTATTAGTTCGAGGTAGACTGCTGCCCGATGCATCCATGAAGCATTCGAAATCGACGCGGCATTGATATCGATATCACCCAACATTAAAGGATGAAGCATTAGAGTTCATTTAGAGAAAAAGATCGAAGAGGTGAACAAACAAATGTAATAATGAAAGAATCGCCTTTGCCTAGATATTGAGAGCGTCATTTCCGTATTTAATAAAGTATGTTAAATTTGTTCGATCATATCGCTATATTATTTCTGGACGTTCCCAAATGCATGGGTCACATAAATATGGGAAGAGGGCTCGATGGGGCACGACATAAGAAATGTTGAGAACCATTTGGAATGAATTTTAATTTCATGAAAATGTTTAATCCAATTGGTGATTTATAAATTTAATCTTCGTGCTTCAAATCACAAGATTTTGGAACACAGGTAATATATATATTTTTTTGTTCTGCAAAGCCCAGGAGCGATAGACTCTCGTATTCAACCGTCGGATGATCTAAGGACTTCGCCATTTCTCCAACCCAAGTCGAGACGAGACGTGAGATTAGAAGTTGAGAACATGCAGCATCTTTACATTCTCAGACCCAGTCCTCCTTGGTCTTTTAGTGTACGTGTAAGCGATGGGAGAATTGACCTTCGGACCTAGACATACAGGGAACGGTCGGAGAGTGGCGGCAGAGAGCACATAGCATATGCCTCACTCACATCCCACTCCCGTCTCTGAATAGCCAAGGGTCGGATAAGTAGAGGAATTCCTGGGTTATCCGACGGCTTCTCCAACACGGGAGCCTATGGAGCGCCTCCGGTATAAGAAATAGCGTGACACATTTGTGAACAAGATGATGCTCCATATTAAGCTCATGATTGTCATTTGTGTCCTATGAGTGGGTCACCATGCCACTACATTGCTGCTTTCCGCGTTCATCGATCACTATACCCTACCCATGTTCAACAAAGAAATAGCGTATGTGCTCACATAATTTTTTTTTTCCAAAGCCATGCAAACAAATTTCAAGCCATGCAATTCTCATCATCATCAGCTGCGTCAGCTGGGGTACACCTCGTAGCATCACTCCCATTGAGCTGAAAATTAATTTATAGGAAAGCTCACTTAATGTATTTTTCTCTTGGCAGCACAGGGAAATGCATTGATCTTTCCTCAATGTCGTTGGTTTTCTTAATGTCGTCAGTGTACATTTCCTTGATACTCTCTAGTCATACTTTGTGATGAGTAATACAAAACACCACAACTTAAAAAACATGAATGTTGAGTTGAATGCACATTTAGATAGTCTGTTCAACCTACAGGTGTGCAGGTTTTGCTGTTTTCCCCTTACCTGTGCAGCTTAAAATTACATTTGAGATTCCAAGATAAACAACCTGGAGATAAATCTTGAGAAGTGACCAAGAATCCCTTGACCAAAAATCCCTTGATACTTGCTCAAAGTAGGAGAGGTTTGCCTGGCATCCAATAGTTTATTGCAGCTTAAACTCACAGTATCATAAATCCAACATCATGCTTTACAGTACATCAGGATATTCAAAAAGTCTCTACAAATGGCAGAGGTAAGTAGCTTAAAAACTTTTTCTGTCTCAGAATAATTTCCCCTTGCTTAAGCTGAGTTTCAGGAAATTCCTTCCCTTTTCTTTCCAAAGGGCTGGATCAATAAATTGAAAGCACTTTCTTTCTTTCTTTCTTCCTGCTTTCATGCAAAATTATTTTCCCTTGCTTCATACAAGTTTACCTCATGTTGACTTCTTCAGGGTTACAGGCATAAATGTGGAAGTTTGATTCAAGGCATTTTAAATTGGTCAAAAACTAATCCCAAATTGCTCAGATGCCACAGATATTGCCAATATGTTGGGAGTTTTCATTTAAGTTAGTATCAATGTTCCCCCAGCTTGCAAAATACTCTCAACTCTGCTCAAAGTATTCAACACTTGTAATTTTTTTCCCATGTCAAAAACTTAATCCCTGAAGATTTTAAATACACCTGTCAACTTACAAGTAATTGAATAATTTAAAAAGTTGGTATAAATCATTCTAAATCATCGAATAAACTTTTACATCATGAATACACATTCCATTTTCCTTCACAGTAGGAAATGTATAAGGGGTCCATGGATGTTAGAGATGTTGCATCTGCATCAATGCCACCCAAGAAGGTACAATTTTTTGAGGGGGGAAATTGAGTAGTCCAAAAGTTTATTTCTTCTGAGACTCATCTTTCAAGACTGAGACTCTTTTCCCAAAATGTTTCCAACAAAAAAGGGACACTGATGTCATCATCCTATGCTTTTCCTGGCACCAGTGATCATAGATTCATCTTATCCAAAGCTTGTGTCCATTACTAGATACAGAAGACCCTGCTTAACTTTGAAGGCTGTGCCATGACCCATCCTACATACTAAGGGGAAAAAAAAATTTGAAATCTGCCCAATTTACCTTCTTAGTGGCTTGCAGAATCATGATCTCACTTTCTTCACATTCCAGTTTTCTCAAGGTTCTGGAGACCAACTCCCCAAATCCTGTGAGGAATAGCAATGGTCTTGCAAATAGTCACAGGATGGCAAAGCAAGAATGGGGAAAATAACAAATAAACTCAATTTGTCATCTCATTTTTTGCAGTCCTTGTTCTCATCTGTCAGATGTTCACAATACTTCAGCTGGCCTCTATTTTTCTCAGGAGCCAATGGAATTTCTGGCCTCACCTTCAAAATCTGTAAAGAAAGAAATCCTGATAAGAATTGATTACTTTCCCAAGGAAGTTGGCAAAGGAGAAAATGGGGAATTGCATGGTGCTTTTTTGAGAAGGAAAACTTCCAAAATGCTTTTTTGAAACATCCAGAGCCTACTGGAATGGATTGGCAGGAATTACTGATGGCAATGGAATGAAAATCAATCAAAGTTCTTGTCTTAGGCTAACACTATTATTTTTGGAATTTTGAGGGGTAGGTTGATTCCCATGAGAGGCAAATTGACAGATTTCAATTGATATCAAGTGCCTCTGCAGTCTTCTTGACAAACATGTGAGGACCTTGTAATCACATGATGAAGTCAATAGCCTTGCATTATGCATGAAAATAGTTCCAAATAAAAGTTGAATGAGCTTGCCAGAATAGGAATGAAAGGCCAACTCACCACGTCTGCCTCCTCTCCTGTACTGTCGAACCAGCTTGGAGTGATGGAATCTGCCTGCAAGACTAATCTTTCCAAGGGGTTTGTGTCACCTCAACCTGAATAATAGGGGTGTAAAAGTCATGAGCAGCTGTTGACTTTAAGCCAGTGAAGATAAAAAGAACAAGGAAGAAGAAAACTGAGACAAAAATTTAAATGATTTGGAAGAATGATGCCAAAAGGATTAAATGTCAAAAGCTTGATTTTATTTTCTTCAAAATGTTGTCTTGGATTAAGAGAAATCTCCAGTTTTCCCAAATATTAAAGTGATATGTCACTTAAGCTCTTATCAAATAAGCAGGTTAGCAATATCTCTGACTCCATTTCAGTAGTGCCATACCCTGCCTCCACTGTCATTCTCTTTGCTGTGCCAATCTTAGGGCTCACCAGATTTATGCAGCAGCACTAGAGAGATACAGTTGCATCATATGCTGAGCCTCCTCATCTGGGTGAAATTTATGGAATTCCTTCACTCTATTACATTCTAGACAAAGCCTTCTGCATAGATGGCATCTCCTCATGAAGGCCACGCAAAGTCCCTTCTAGCACGATGCAGTCTCAGCAACTAAGACAAAAAAACACCGCCAATGTTCATACATTCATTCAACTCACATGAACTAACAAGAAAACTGCATACTTGTCATACAGCAGTCTCAAGGAAAAGCATTTCAGAAGGGTGCATAATCTACTCAGAAAGACATTGAGAAAATTTAAAAAGCACCAAGTTCAGACCATTTAAAATTTAGTCCATCAAACTGCTCCTTGAAGAGAAGTGAAAATATTAGCAAATTCAAGAAAATAAAGACTGCATAATGCAAAAATATATATATGACTAGATTTGATACAAAGTGGTATAATGGAAGGTCCTTTTGTCATGCTCAGCACCCATCTAAAAAGTGTCTTTAAAAACCTGATGAAATATCCTGGGAATGGCTCATACACAATCATATCAGGCAGTTTGTTATGCCAGGATTTCCTTTCCTATCTCTTCTGTGATCAGTGAAGCTTCTTTTGGTTTGGTAGACAGACATGCCTATTCCCTCCTATAACCAATCTCTTCCGATTGCTCACTGTACTACAGAAAGGCAATCCATAGACAAACTTGTGATCTGAGGACCTTTTCTATGGATTTGATTGCCGAAGAATTCCATGCTACATTTCATATTGTATGTGGGAAAATATATATAACTGCATTTTATATGTAATGAAAAATAAGTTATCACAAAAAAGTTAACTTAATGGAATAAATTAAATGTAATCAGAAAATAAAAAAGGAAAACCAGAGATACACTGTAGATCCTCATGGCTATTCATGGCAAAAGTCATGGCTTGGCATGTACATGTGACAATTAATATTAGGAGTGTTATCGATTATTTATCGAAGACAATAATTGTCCGTATCGGTTTAATAGGAAAACCGATATTCAAGGTTCCCCTTTAAACGTTTAGAAAAGTAAGAATCAAGAATTCAAGGGTAAAAGCCTTCCGTTTACAAACGCATTGTTAATGCTCCGACTGGTTCAGTTGCCCTGATCATGAGCAGAAGGCTGTGGGGATTCCCAATGATGTGTGCATACGTGATCGTCCTGCGGGTAATTTCACGATGTGTAGCGAACCCCAGGGGGCAGGGCCTGTCTTAGGCATGTGCCACATGTGCCTCCACACAGGGCGAAAATTCACTAAGGGCTCCAAAACGCGCCAGAACGGATGGAGTAATAGTTTTACTTCAGAAAGTGGAAATGCCTTCCGCTTCGGCGTGTTTTTGGACATGAGGGATTGAGCCTTCTCCCTTCTGAGGGGGTGGGGGGGAGGGGGGATTGGGAGTCTCTTTGCACAAGGCGCCGAAGTAGCTAGGGCCGGCCCCGTCAGGGGGTCACAGGATATGGGGCACGAATGCCTCGCTACATGTGGGGATCACACCTAATGTGGTCGGTTGGTAATCAGGAAGGTTGCGCGTTCAATAGGTGGTAACTAAGCAAGGTAGAAGTGTATCTCTTTTAGTTCCGCAGACTCCAAGTAGGAAGGAACCCAGCAAACAAGGCTACGTTGGAACCAATGTCGTACCAACATTACGAACGTTGATTCAATATTGGCTTAACGTTGTTTCAACGCTATGTGCTTCAAATTGTTTGCTGGGAAGGTACATTCTTAGATCAACGTTAACAACTGTGCAGGATTTATTGGATAATCAATGGGGGAAAGAACGGAAGGAGAAATACGGTGAAGATGCAGCCTCACGTTCGTAGGGAGGACTCCCACGCAATTCGTCCCGATACGTGGACGGTCGAATCCGTTGCCTCCTGTCCGCCGACCGTGGTCCAGGTCGTCGGCTCGGGATGAATTCACGGCAGTTCACTATCCTGACCGGCTCACATTTCTGAGCACACCGTGGTCCATTGGGTTGACCGGCTGTGGGGGTCGGGATGCGAGGCTCGACACGCCACGTGTTGTCCGGCCGGAAGTTCCTGGCGCACTGGCGCGCCCACGTGTTGTCCGGCCGAAGGTTCAAGACGGTTTGTCCGTAGGTCAGGGCCAGAGCGTGACGGAGAGAGTGGCTCGCTATGGCCACAGCGTAGAAACTCGGGGCCTCAAAGGTAGATAGAATATATTCTATCTACCTGTTGATTATCTATCGAGGGATAGATAATAATAATGAATACTTGAGGGACCCTTCCCCTCTGCTCATTTTATCCTCGTGGGCACAAGGACAACCACAAATGATCCAGCTCGAATGACAAATGAGGGTCGAGCAAAATTGCATCCTGCATTATTCTCAGTCTCCGCGAGCTGGCCCCGCCCAAGACCCACGTGCATCTCCTTTTCGCCACCGCTGTTATGCTCACTGCTCACTTTTTCTATATGCTTTTTATTTATTTATTAGTCAAATTATAAAGACTCCTTTAGCTGCGCCTTTCCTCGGACAATCCGCAGTCTAACATCATTCCATTCTGGTGTTCGTGTCTGTGCACTTTCCTTGTTCTGACTGGGCCTGAATACTGAAACCTCATTTAAGTGTGATGAAGAGGAAGTGGCGCTTCCCCTCCCCGCTCTTCCCTCGCCGAATGGTTATATAACTGTCCATTTTCCCTTTCCGCGCCCTCGTCGTGCCCTGTCGCATGTAGTCTGTCTCGAGTCAGCGGCCAGGCAGTGGGATATGACAGTCGACCGCTGTTGAAGGACCGCAATCGTCCGGTTTTCAGTCGAGTGTTTGGAGTAGTTCGAACCCATACGGATTGCTTGTGAATCCTGGTCGTCCCAAGAGCCTGGAAGGGTGACGAACGTCTTTAGAGATCCTTACCAACGTGAGGCAGCTTTCCCTCGTTACTTCTGTTCCCTCTTTATTTCCCCCATTGATCGGAAAAATCAGCGCATTTGTTAACTTCGACTTAACGCACCTCCTTTAAATTCTCGTTTTCCACCCTTGACATTCACTTCAAGTCAACCATGCCAGCATGTCGCCATGAGCAACGAGTAACCTTTCATTTGAAGAAAAACGAAGTTTAAAAACAAAAGAAAACGTAACCAGTGATCATTGACCGTAGCCCCGTTTGGAGTCTGGGTTGGCTTTGAGCTTGTCAAGGAATCAACAAATCTCAAGAGAGGCAAAGAAGCTTCCGCCGTGCTTAGAGGGTTCTTCTACGATCCCTCATATTCTACCTAATGTTATCTCCCCATAATTACGTCACTTCTTTGTGCTTGATCTGACTTCCAATTTTAATAGTCAAATATTGAGACTCACCTTATTCCATTTCCTTTCCTTCCCTAAAAGTGATGTAAGTTAGCCTACAATATGCATGATCATTGTGCCCAGCAAATAAATTTAAACAAATAATGTTGGATCAACATTGAATGAACTTTCAGGATGTTGATACGTTGGTCCAACATAACCTTGTATGCTGGCATGGGATATAACTTTTTGATGAATGCCACCATGCTTCTGGAGTGGAGTAGCAGGAAGTCCTCAATTGGGAACTGAAATTAAACATTTGAACCCTTTTCCCTGCCTCTTTGATATTAAACCTAAACATGTTTCATATTTGAATAAGCATCTACGAATTTCTCCCACCAAAGTCCCTACCAACAAAATGGTTCCAGTTATCATCATTTGTTTTTAGTTACCACCAGCCTAATATGATCAAAAGCCCACCAAAGTAGTGCAATAGAGAATTAAATGAGCAAAAGTCCTTTCACATTCACACAGTATCCTCACAGTTCATAGAAAATGAAATCACATGTGAGCAGTCATAGACAAGCAACATCATAGCATATTTTCATCACAAAGAAGTTGTCCAGATGAACAACTCATTTCTCACCTGGAGAGCTGGGCAAGAAGAGCCACTGAAAACTGCCTCTGCTTGCCATGAATAGAAAATGAAGAGTGAGGCTGAAGATCCATTTATTCCTTGAGTATTCTTGATTCACCCATTAAGATGCTTCAAGAATAGTTGACCCAAATGGTCATGGGTAAAAGACCTTAGGTCCAAGGTCATGGTGTGGGGATTCACCTGTGTCAAATATGCCACTGAGATTAAAATTATAGCAGCAGTATTTCTTTTTTTTTTACATGAGGTGAAGTAATGCTTGAAGTTATGAAAAATGCCGAAGAGAATTTTCTTCTGGTGCCATGTGGTTAACTTGAATAAGTTTGCTGTAAAACTGTAATGTCAATCTTTCTTTTAGAGAATGTGGATTCTTTGCAGATTGGTTGATAGCCCAATGAACAAATAGCCCAATTCATGAACCTCTGAATGAACCTCAATTTCTGAGGGCAGTTTGCTGCTCTTAAATACGATTTAGTGATGCAGGTACTATGTGCACCTACATGTGTCTGCATGTGTGTGCAGATTTCCAAGTTAAACAGATTCCAATTCTGTATGCAAGCTTTGAATTTTGTCAAACCCTTGGATCCCTTATTGCCACTTTTGAAAATAACAAAATATGGACAAATACTCTAAATATACCCACAGTCTCCTTAAGCCAAGGTGCCAATCGATATTGTGAGTGTGGACTTATGCTTTTGACTTGTATAAAAACGATATTAGCTGCTATAAAGCATATCGAGTAAAAAAAAAAAACTAAGTTTAAAATATGACAAAACAGTGTCCATATTAGGCCTAGTTTGCAGTATGGACATTGCATCTGAAATATGTACTGTCCATGCAAATTATGAACGAGTGGGAACCCTACTGGGGATGCATTTGTAAGTGTGCTTACAAATAAGTGTCCTAGCGTCTCTAGTACTTTTGGAGCGGTACTTGATAATTGCTCCACAAAAGACGCCGGAGAAGGTATTTAACTGCCTGGATATATTTGACCAAAGTGACGACCCAACCAAACAGGTCCTAGGATAATTCTGAGCAGGGTGATGGACACAAGAGAGTTAGCGAGGTCATGTTGATCCATGAGACCACACCGCCCTGACTCCGAAGATGAATATCAATCATGATCACTGCCGAAGGATAGTGGAGCGACGAGTAGGCTCTTATTACGACACAATGATCACTCCGGTGCCCTGCTTTGGGGGGGGATACGGGATGTCTCTCTCTCATCCCGTTATTAAGTTCGCGTTGTCCGTGGATGGGGATCTTTAAAAAGCGAATTTGGGGATGAAGATCGGGTCCAGATGATATTCGAATAATACTTCAGCAATGAAACTGCACATACTCCCGAATTAAACAGATTATCGAGGCCTGTCATGTCAATGTTGAAC